GTCAGAAAAAGTTTTCAGACTGCCAGTAAAAAAAAAAAAAAAAAATCTTGACACCCTTCCCTGAAGCATGTCATTTGCTATGTAAGAAGAGATCCCAGGGAGTCTGAGGGCAGCTATGACAGGCACGAGATGCTCATGGCAACAACAGAAACCTACTATAAACAGAAGTCATGAAGGCAGCCAGGAATTTCCTAAGCACTACTAGGCCTATGAACCACTCAGGAAAGGAAAACTGCCTCTCCCAGACCAAGCACATGTCTTTCCAGGGTGACTGGCAAGCTCTCACTTCCAAACACCTGTTCAACCTCACTGTATCCCATTCACCTCCAAGGACCTCACTAAATCCTTAATTAGAACTCATCCCCCATCCTGGTCTCCATACATAATAGCAAGCAAGAGAGGATCAGCAGAACGCCAAGCTAGGTCTACTTGGTGGAAGTGCTTCTTTCCCAATTTAGCCCAGAAGACAGTATATCTAACAGAAAGGTCAATCTCAGAACCCCACCAAAAACTTCTGGGTATATGCAAGGGGAAAACACTTCACATTTCAATCTTCATCAGAACTTAACCGCCCCCCCCCCCCAAAAAAAAACACCCAACAACCTAGAACTTGATGTATTATCCCTTTTAAAACTTTATTAGAAACGTGCCTGTTTGGGGTGGGGAGGGGCACATCAGGATAAGAAGGACATAGGAAGTTAATCAGAAAGGGCAGTTTTCCTTTATTGTTCCTATAAAGAGTATCAATTTTGCTAGAATCTCAGAAGCACAAAGTACTAGCCTGACACCTAAAAAGCAACTAGAAATGGTCAAGCAGAATAGAACTTTGGCAGAGGTTTGGTCATTAAAAACCTGGCACAGGTCAAAAGTTGAGGGGGGGAGATGTCATCCTGCAAGATGGGTGCAAACACAGACATTCACAGAGCATAAAGTAAATCAGCCAGCAGTGCCCAATCCCTGCATGCTCCAGAAGTCCATGCCAAGCAGCAGGGAAACCTTAGTGATCTCATAATGTGCCTTCTGCACAGGTACAGGACACTGTTCTGGAGAAGGCTGGAACCTGATGCCAGTGGGGTTTCCCCCATCTAAACTGGGAACCAGGGTGGGGCTATTCCCAACAGGGCACATCTAAGCACTTAGTCCAGTCTAATTTTAAACCCCAGGGCTTCCACCTCTTCTTTTGGACACTGCACGGCAGCCAGACACATCTCACACTCCAGAATACTATTCTGAGGCTCAACTCCTGCCCTACTTCTTGAGTGAGGAGAGGGAACGGCGGGGGTTCAGCGAGGCTACAGCCAAGCCAGACCGAAAGCTCCCGATCCTGCCCGATTTCAGAAGCTAAAGGCCCGGGTCAGTCCCTGACTTCTGGGCAGCTCACCGACAGCTGCAGCAAAAGCCACCTGTCCTCCATCCTGCGGCCAGGCCGCCGCACGTGCTCGCCCCCTGCTCCGGCTGCCTCAGGCCTCTGGGGAGGAAGGGGGGGAGGGAGCGGCGGCCCCTGACGGGGAACCAGAGCGCGTCAGGGGGCGGCAGGGCAGCGCAGCGCCCAGCCCCAGCCCCGCGGCACCTACCAACCCGGCGCGGGCACGGGGCGGCCGCCTGCCTGGGCCCC